AGGTCAGTGGCATGGTGACCCATGATTTTGCACGAGGAAAAAGATCCCATTCCGGACCCCCAAAAAACAATATTTATGTGTGTGTGCGAGGCAGGGTTCTGGGGAGGGGGTCCCTCCCCGTGCAGCCGATTAATATTCTTGTGGCGCATTCTAGAGTCGATTTGTTGCATATCTGACCCACGGTGCATGTCTGACACTGGTTAAGCACAATGATTATGATTATAATGTTGGAAACCGCGTGATTTTTTGCCATTTGCGAGGGGGCTCAAAAACTCAAAACCATGACGCAAAACTCGTCATTGCGTCCCTCTCAGTTAGCCCCTGGAACAAGTGAGGTATAGGTCGTCATAAATGCCACGATAGTATGTAATGTTATTGCAATCCCTATTGTAATGTAATGTTACACACGAAAACCTGTGGCAATAATATAAAAAGAAAAGGAAAGCAGAAAGTACGGGAATAAATAGAAACAACTAAATGACCTAATATATAATACCTGGAATGACCTAGCATGTTAGCAAATATGATCGGTGATTAATTTAAAAATAATATTACAAGAAGCCGTATGGATGACCTGTTTTAATTGTATGTATATTTTGTTTGTAAATGCATAATAGATATGACCCAAATTTATTTCTTATCGGTATATCATATGAAATTTAGTTTAGTTGAGTACAGAACACAACACAAGTCATATGTTTTACGTACATACGTCAGTACAGTTTGATATGAGAATGATATTTGTAAAGTTTATAATTATAGTGATGATATTGCCATCAACGTCTCTAAATTATGTAGGCAAACATACACACTGTGCTTTTTAAAGAGAGAAATCTAACACCCCGTTTGACGTCAATTTTTATTATGAATTAATACGATCAATTTCACTTAAACATACATTATGCTAGAGCTAAATCTGATTATTGCAAGTCTTTATTTAAGCTTCAGATGTCATAGAAATTATAAATTAGATCTTTATTTACACAACAAGCACAAAATCAACTCTGTAGACCCACGGATGGCTTGGATTTGGCTTGGATTTAAACAGGGTTTCATTGACTGATTACATTTTTAAATGGCGTCGTAAGCGGAGATTAACCGTTACGTTGACGTCATACTCCCGGAAATTTTAGATCGAGGCTAAATGATAGAGTGTACAAAGCGAGGCCGCTTTTTAGCGAGGACCCATGTCAGTCAATTTGATTGAAAGTTCGATATATACGGCCTTGATATTATGTTTGTTTGTGGTTAAAATGAGAGTTTGGATGTCGCTATTATACGCTCTTTTGTCACTTGCGTTTACAGAAAAATTATGGAAATTGATAAACATCGCATCACCCCAGTTGAATTGCAGCCCCATTGGATCACTATTTCCTATTAATCTGCTTCGGAAGTTACGTAGGCCTACAGTTACAGTACAAGAGTACACGCAGGCTAACAAGAAGTCGGCTATAATTATGCCTCATTGATTTGGCCATTCATTTCAAACTTTCGCTTCTTATCTATATATTAAAAGTCTTATTTTTAATTTGTAGTAAAAATAAATGTGATACGAATTGAATTGCAACCCCGTCTCAAACTGAATGACTAAAAGTACCACAGCCATTGAAAACGTTACTTGATAATCGAGATTATGTAGGTGGAGTTAACGCCTGTCAATCAAACGATCGGCCAGTCTCGGAGACGGTGAAGAAAGTGTTGACTCCTATTTCTAGTCAAAAATTACAATAGTGATAATTTTGTTCAGAATAAAGTAATTAGACTGAAATTTTCAATATATTCTTCTTTCATCATCTATTTTTGAACTGTTATAGCAAGAATGACCAACTCTCTATTAAAATCTCCCATAATGTATCTTTAATGCAAAGCAATAACTATGATATCACATACATATATCTATATCATTATCTCGACACGCTTACGATTTGAAATGTAAAAGCTGTGCATCTTATTTCACCACTTCGCTAAACCGGGGCCTGTTTCACGAAATTTTAACTACGATAAAATCCAAATTTTAGTAATTTGATTGGATAATATTAGATTGATTTTAGTGCTTAGCCAATCAAAATTGAAGTACATGTATCTACTAAAATTGGATTTTATCTTTAGTTAAGATTTAGATAAACAGGGGCCTGTGTGTCAATCCATGTCTTTCATATAGCACTCTCACATTCCAAGCTCCAACTGTTAAAGGTGGTCCTGGTTCAATAGATGGTTTATGTTCTTCCTGTCCCATCCATCAAAATACGTTTTTTCCATGAAACCTTTTACAGTTATAAGTGATGCTACGGCTCCCACATCGAGAACCTAGAGTTTGGTCTACCTTTTAATTCTTTGTAGGATTATTCTGCTCCCTGAAGATGGTGATACATATTGACCGACCTCTTTAAAATAAACTGGGGCCTGTTTCACGAAGTTTTAACTAAGATAAAATCCAAATTTTAGTAATTTGATTGGATAATATTACATTGATTTTAGTGCTTAGCCAATCAAAATTGAAGTTTCTACTAAAATTTGGATTTTATCTTTAGTTAAAATTTCGTGAAACAGGGCCCTGATTTGTAGTGGTTTTACAGGTTAAAAATATTTATGTCTAGAGAAAAGAGGTGTTCAGATTATAGATATCTTAGGTGTATTTTGTACACTGACTAATCAGAGAGTAGTATTTATGCTGCTATATATAATAAATTACAATAATTCAAATATCACCACATATTATGTACCACTTCACTTTTGCATCAAATGAACAGGCATTATGCAAGAGCCAAATCTGCCTATTGCAGGCCTTTCTTTATGCCTTAAATTTTATATCAATTATTAATTAGACAGTCTAATTTATTTGGAACACGCACCTGAATTTGAGCTAGGGTAAGCTTACTCTTCCGGACACCTGTTACCATTGTTTGTCGTGTATTTTGTACACATTTTTTTAGGACTTCGAATTTTGTTTAATGGTTTGGATTGTTCGTACTTGGTTTTATTTTTGATGTCTGACTAACAGAACTAGAACTATAAGAATAAAAACTTTCATTATTTTCAACGTTTGTATTAGATTCAAGATTCTGAACTTTATGTGGATTTACTGTTTTATTCTTAGCTTTGCCATTATTAGTAAATGTTTGAGTCTCAACTGGAGGGCTGTCTAACTTATCAGAATCCCCAGAAACAAAATCGTGAATCTTTTTGTATTCCGAAAAGTTCGCGTTGTAAGCTTCTAGTTTTTCTTCGGCCTCTGTGAAGTCTTCTAATGTACTGTAGCCTAGTTTTTGCAGTAGGACCGGTAACCAATTCTTTATAACACACTTCAAGTCTGTCTCTTTCCTTTCTCAGTTCTTTCACGTCAATATATTTCTCAACGTTAGTTTCTGAAATCAACCTATTCAAACACACACATGATAGTCTCTATCAGCTTTTTGTTTATTAATTAGGCTACTGTCATTTTCTCAGTAGGAATTCTTTCTTCGTCATTATTATCAACGCAAACATGAACTATTTTTTTTTATTATGTACGTTTTTATCTGTTTTTCATACTTTCTCTCAAGCTATCACCATCATCCACAGTTTTTCTTTCTGTCTACTTTTTTTTCTGACGTCAAACATCGTAGGCCTACCACTACCCAATTTCCACTCGCATTCAACGAACGATGATTAAGGCGAGGAGCTTTTCTTTCTACTTTACTTCTCAGGTTGCTTTCTGAGTGGAAATCAAAACACATCGGGGTTAGGTTTTACTGCTTTTAATAATACATGTGTACATGCACTACTTGTATACATGTAAAAAAAAACAACTCAATGCCCCGTCAGTGAAGTGCGGTACATTAAAGGAGCTAAATCGCTAATAATTGACAAAAATGGATCGCAACGAATATAATAATGTAATATGAATGTATATAAACTGATTTACATTCAATCGTTTCTGTTTTTACTGTAATTTCTAATCAGTTATGTTCGGCGAAATACGCCAGAAGTGTGATGTGAATGGCAATCTTTAGCGTCTGTTTTTTCCAGTCTACACCGATGGTATTTATTGCGCATGCTCTCCAGATAAGAATATAGCGTCACCATTTGACATGACTTGTGGATTATGTCTAGCCCTGTTCTTTGAGACCCCTGTCTTCCAAATGGTACTGAAACGCATTATGGTACACGATTCGTGTACCAATGGTAAAATGTTTGTTTTGTCTTGAAAAGATCACAAGACCAATGTTGATTTGAATTGACAAATAATTCGGGTTTTCAATGTCGAAGATTTTTGATGATATTGAGTTGATGATGATATTAATCTGGTCTGCCCTCTGTTTGCCCCCCCCCCCCAATAATTTTAGAAAATAAAAAAAAGTATTTGTGATACGTTTCGGTAATCAATACCTTCTACGGTGAATAAATCCCACATTCCCACTCAGTCATAAACTTGCATGTTGTAGAGCATTTCCGACAGTCTATTTTATTTTTCAAAATTTTCTTGGACTCGCTACTTTGGCGCTCACAAGGGGAATTCGTTGAGGTTCGCAAGTCCGTTCGTTTGACATTTTGTTCTCTAATCAGATAAACTAGTGATCAGGCGACGAACGGTATCTGGACAGATCTATTTATCTGGACGATCGGTGCCTGACAGAATACTGTAAGACAGCATTTCCGGCAGTCTATTTTTCAAAATTTTCTGGGGGAGGACTCCCTACTTTGACGCTCGTGAGTGGGCTTCGTCGTTTGACACTTTACCTCATTGAGCAGTGCCTGAAATACTGCCAGGCTGCATTTCCGGCAACCTGTTTTTCAAAATTTTCTGGGGGAGGCCCCCTACCCCTAGTTGAAGCTCGTGCCTTTGCCCCCTTAACCTTGGACTTTGCCCCAGCTTTGCCCCTCCAATCACCGACGGATGGCGCCGCCACTAGGACCAGGTACACCAACAGAGCTCGATCTGTACTATAATGTTACATGTTCCTTCTTATCATTTAACAGATGGAGCTTGAAGACTGGTATCCATGCCTTGGCGAGGAAATTGAACAAATTATTAAAAAAGCAGAACAACAAATTATTGATGAGCAATATGATGAGGAAGGAGCTAAAGAATTTGATGAGAAGTTAATGCGACATTTAGAAGTGAGCGACGATCAACCAGTGGTTATTAGCCAGCGGTTAATAAATAGTTTTGAAGATATATTGCAGGTAGGCTATATTAATTTACATGCCTTATGAGCCAGTGTGCGCACATTTTAGAAGATTAACAAAATTAGTTCGATTCAAATTATTTTATGTAATTATTTTTTGCGATGTGTAGAGTCCTCCACGATACACGTAAATGTTTGTCTTTTATTTTGCAGAATATAACAACTGTTTCTGTTTTTTTATTAATCACTATATAACATTTCAGAGTCCTATAAGTTTGGAAACTGCTGTATGCTGTTTACGAAGTCTCTTTCATAGTATGTATGTTTATAATATGTTTATGAAAAGTTGATCCAATGACTACTATGTTTATTATAAAACTCAGTAAAATCACATGTGCGTGCCAATTAATGGCCCACCTTTTGGTACCGAAGAAACGTGATTTCCCTGCTTTAATGATTTTGTGAAATAGTAAAACTTCGGGGTGATATGTAGGTTATTTCACGAAATTAACCACGAGTAGTGTTGAGATTGGGAATATACAATACTAACTGACCACACAGTTGGGCGACAGACTGTGTGCTTAAGATCATAAGATCTGTCATTGGGTTAAGTGTAATCTTTTCAATCCCAGGCTTGTACGAGACAAGCAGTGGCGGACAAATATTTTTGGGACCTTTTAGCATAAACTCAATTGTAGGGGGATCGGGGGGGGGGGGGGGGGTGGTAGGTAGCGTCTCTGGTCGTGCTCATCCGTCTCTGAATCTTTCTCGAATTCCCACAAAAACATCGTAGAAAATCCCGTTTTCTTTGACACATCGTCTATTGTTTTAACGATCAGAATGTCAGTCAGACAGAACAGGGCTGGATGCAGAACATGGTCCATAACTTTTCAAAGAAATACTGTCGATCAGTGTCAACAAATGCGGCCACATCTTGACTAAGTTTGATGATTAACATTTTTCGACAAGGCTAGGCAGAGATAAGCAATTTGATTGGACACAGTAAAATTAATACTAATTGATGGACAGTGACGAAACTTGGTGTATAGTTTCAAAACTTTGACGAAGTTTGATCAAAATCATTTTCTGCTATTATATAAGCAGCATGATTGCTGGATACCTTACAAAAATATTAATGTGTCATCTATTTATTTTGAGAATGAGGCGGGAAGCATCAGTCTCACTGTTGGCTTGTTCAATCGGTTCACCGCAAACTTCCTATTTTTAGTAGTTATAAGAACCCGATATTACAGAAGAGCTATATTGTTTAAACAACATTTAAGCTTCATTAGTTACATAGTATATAGTCTCGCCAATGATGACAAGTGGTGTGGACGCCTGCCTACGTCGCGGTATTTCTTCGGGTCCTACCGTTTCCTCACACCGATGAAGACCCATAAGCGCAAGTGGATTATTGAACTAAGATGCACCATGCTGGGCCTAACCTAGTTAGTGTTGAGTGAACGTTAAATCCCATTTGTCGCCATTTAGCTTCACAATTTCAAAGCAGTTTTATTTCAGTTGTCTGGTTATGTAGAATATCAATCTAATAAGCATATTGCGTAATAGTTACAATTTTCTTTCAGTGACAGTTACTCTGGAAAAATGTAATTGTTTCGAAAACATACAATTTATCACCATAGTTTTTCGTGCCTCTGGCATGATCAATCAATCTCCAGAGGCTAATAATAAGGTAATAACATTAATTTATCTTTTTGTGACGTTTAACAAACATGTCGAAACGTCTTAGAGCACGCTCACGAAAACTATAAAAGAATGGAGAGAAATTCTACCATTATTGAAGAATCCCAAAGACTCTTCTCGGTCAATGTCCTGCCTCCTCGACTGTCATGGCCCGTGGGTCAAAGTAATACAGTTCAAGATTTGTAGCTTATTAACTTGACAAATGTGTTCACCAATCGTAGGCAAAATGAAGGCAACAAAATACTGGCAATAACACTAACCCTGTTGAGATAAAGTTCATGATATATTATGATTGTTATTGATTTTGTTATTAATTTTTTTGTCAACATTAGGGGCAGTGGCGATAATACTGAACAACTTGAAGAGGGGCGGGGAAGTGTGTCTCTCCTGAAGACTTAGCGCTGCTACGAGCATCTAAAAATGACTAACAACTTTCTACTACTAGCAGGCTAATAATAGGCGGATCGGGTGAAATTTGAGTCAATATCCTGGCTTTTATCGGTCAATCTAGGGAGCAAATTCTTGTGAACGAAAGAATCAGAAATGGAATAATCAGTGGGACTGCAGAATCTCGAATCTCGAGATTTACCTGTCAATTACGCCTGATTTGTAAGAGTTAACAGAACATTAGTAAAGTCTGTCGCCCCACGCACTAGTGGTACTACTAACTAGGAGGTTCACTATAACCGTGAATATGATAGTGATGAGATAGTATAAGACAACAGAGGAGTGGAAGAATGAAGCGATGATTGAATCAAGCGCAATGTATAATATGTAACTAAGCTGTTAATTTCAGGGACTGGGCCTGGAACTTTTAGTCAATTTCCTGGCATTAATGTCTCGCACGCGACCATTAAACTACACATATTAAAGTTTTAAATGTGTTTCGACCCATTTGTGTCCATTTTTCTAGGTGCCAAAGATTAAAGAATTAGCTTCTTTAAGTACAATACCCATATTATTTGAGATATTTTAATAAAGATAATGAATTTCATTGTTTATGATGTTTTTAGGGTACAACTGTATTAGCCTTATGTAAAGAGATTGCCAATTTTGCTGAATCCAATCTTAAAGATGAAGAAGACTCCAACCAGGCATCGTTCTTCATGACTCGTGTTATGAATGAATTACTGGTATTCTTTGCTGCAAATACCAATAGTGTTGTCCATTCAAGGATATGTAGAAGACTTAGTTTAGTTTCTGCTCGCAGCTGCCGTGTGCGTAAATAGCAAATGTTTTTATTACAATCACATACCTCATCACTGTTAAAATTACCAGATTGTAACATAAAAAGCCTTAGCTCTACCTGATTGATGAAAAATGTTACCGGTATTTCTTCAGAAATATTCTTATTTCGTTCTGAATTAAATCATTTGTTAGGCTGCTCTTCATGTAAATCTTACTAATCTATTAAAACGTAGCTGCTGTCTTTGTAGTGTACGTATTGTAGGGTGTTTCCTCTTTTAACCTTGGTGAGCCTTCCTCGTATCATTTTTTTGTTCGTACTAGCCATCCCTGAACCTCGTAACTAACGTTAAAAATGTCCATCAGATAAAGAAATGATAAGCGTTTAGTTAACTTACAGCAGATTAGGTCATTTGAAACACAAAATCCTAAAGACGTCGTTGGACTGTAATTAGTATAAATGCTAACAATATAAGAAATAAAAGAAACAGCATTCTAACATACGTACAGCTTAGTATAATACATGTAGTATAATTTCAAATTTAATTCCTCTTTCAGAATAATGCATATTATGTGATAGAACTTTGCAAAGCAGGTAAATAATAGTATTTTTATTTTTTTTCATATTTCTAATATTTTTAACGAATGCGAACACTCGTTCGGGCTACAGTTTTTAAAGGATGTCTTTCACGTTTGATATGAAGCATTTGAGATACTGGTAAGATGAACCCTATCGACATTCAGCTTTTCGCGACATTGGGTTCCGGGGTTACCTCTCCGTTTCCGAAAACCTTGTTAACACGATGGAGTCTACAATTTTTGATGGATTTATTTTTGTTGAAGCATTTGTTATATAATCGAAACGGCCATCACGTACGTTATAGAATTAAGAACTTTAATAAATATTTATTACAGTGATTGATTTAACACCTGTAGATGATACACTGAGAGATGTTGATATTGAAATGAAAGTACAGGCTTTAGAATTACAAGCTCACGCCTTTAAGATGAAAAATATATTGGATCAAGCAATAAAAAAAGCCACAGAAGCTAAAGATCTTACAAAGGTCAGTTTGTTTGGGGATTATTTAACGATGAATTTCAATAATCAAGTATGAGTAAAGGTCATTATGTATTATCCCCCCCCTCTCTCTCTCTCTCTCTCTCTCTCTCTCTCTTTCATATAACCAAAATGAAGCGGCTCGTGTATGTAGTAAGATTTGTTGTCGGTAAAATAATCTTGTGTATAATTTATATAACTGATCTGGAAATTGATAGAAATTTTACGATGATAATTCTTTCTGACAGAGTGAAGAAATAAGGAAAAGACTTCAAAAATGGATTAGAGAAGTGGAGTCAGAGCTGGAAGATAAAGAAAGATTGAACAGTAATGAAACATATAAACGTGATATTGAAGAATTTCAGAAATCAAATCAGGTATTACAAAATTAAAGTGTATGCAGTACCTTAGAGCAGTCTAAGCGTTTTAGGAAACCATGACCGATTGACTCGTGTATGTCTGACTACGCTTTTGATATTGACCAATAAAAATATATTGGAGAAAGCTTTAATAAACTTAACCATGTTTAAAAGCGATGTGGAATGTACAGATACCATCGCCGACATAACGTCGTTGACAAGAAATTGACTACGTGGAATCAGTAAGATCTGGACTGTTAATCTTAACGTTTTGCCAGACCGATTTGTCTTTTGTTCTCTATCGCTCTATGGGCAATTCCAACAATTCCGTCGATACTTCGAGCAAAACTCTGCTAAAAGAAGGAGGTTAATTTTAAAAAAGTTTCCAGATTTAGATATATGCTTAAATAGTAGCAAAAATGTCGACGCTATCGCCATTTTGTAGCTAGAAAATAAGATTGGGATAAAAAGCCAGGACTGGATAAAGACGTAATCTTTAAATGACAATATTTTTTATTATTAGTGTCAGTCATTATCACATATGTGATAAAAGTGGTTAAATACGTGCCAAATAAAATTTTAAAACAGAGATCATTCCTACGATAGGTGAGTAATGCAGATTTCAAGAAACGGAAGTGACGAAAGCAAAAGAAAAATTATTTTTAATTAATGAATGCATTATCTATTTCCGTAGCCTCCCCGTGTTGTCTATCTAATAAAACTTGTTTACGAGCTTAAAACCAATATTAGGCCATAATATTGCACAACCTATTAGTTTCCATGACGTTTTGAAAATTATTCTTTAGACCAGTGGACCAAGACGAATGCTTAAGAAAAGTGGCAAGACGCCAAGAAAAAGAAGACGATGTACGTATTTTTATATATAAAAGATATCTATTAAATAACAAAATAAAGATCCAAATTTTCACTGACAATGTTACACCCGATCTTTCATTTTTTTAGTTGTTGATTCGTTTTATGTAATTTCATTCTTTTCACAATGACATTTTATTGTAATGAATCTTCATGCATTTTGTAATGTGTTATAACAGTAATTAGTTGAATGTACGTCTGTGATGGTAGTGAATGGTTCTAGGGACTTCCTTTGAGCAGGTTTTGCAATCATTTAATTGCAAAGAGGTCACAGGCCTATAAATCTCTTAATTTCCTATTAATCTGGCCCTAACATATAATTACCAATTCACATTGAAATAAAAGTGAAGCCTTACCACATAATAGTTTCTATGATTTTTAAAAATCAAACGGAAACTCGGGATTTTACATTGGTAACGTCATGGCCACTTGTTTGCGTAAAAAACGTCGCTTCAAAAATGTACCGCGCATTACCAAAAGAGAAACTAGCTGGTATCTATTTTATTTTTGGAAGACCAAACAGCTCTTTATTCAGTATCCTTACTTCTTAGTTCTTAATTGTCCCCCGCCTTTTAAAGAAAGCAGGGGACTATTAAAATGGGTTCGTCCGTCTGTCTGTCTGTCCGTCCGTCCGTCTGTCTGTCCGTCACACTTTTTGGGACACAATAACTCTCCTAATTGACCTAGAATATTCAAACTTGTAGGTGTTTATTAGGTCAATGCCTTGATGGAGTTCGAAGATGAGCATTTTCTGCTTAGGGTAAGCAGAGATAAGCAATTTGATTGGTTGATGCTTTGGGACACGATAACTTTAGTTATAATTAAGTCAGAGTGATGAAACTTGGTGTATAGTTTCATTACATCAATACCTTGACTAAGTTCGATAATGAGCATTTTCTGCTCAGGGTAAGCAGAGCGATAAGCAATTTGATTGCCCGAGACTTTGGAACACAATAACTCTCCTTCTAATTGAGCTAAAATGTTCAAACTTGGTGTAGGTGTTTATTAGGTCAATGCCTTGATGGAGTTCGAAGATGAGCATTTTCTGCTTAGGGTAAGCAGAGATAAGAAATTTGATTGGTTGATGCTTTTGGACACGATAACTTTAGTTCTAATTAAGTGAGAGTGATGAAACTTGGTTTATAGTTTCATTACATCAATACCTTGACTAAGTTCGATGATGAGAATTGTCTGCTTAGGCTAAGGAGCAATAGGCATTTAGAGGTAGAATGTTTAAACTTAATGTAGATGTTCGTCTTGACTGAGTTCAATGATTAACATATCGAGCTATAAGCAGAGATAAGCAATTTCCTTGGTCGATGCTTTGGGACAAGATAACTTTGATTCTATGTGATAGAGAGTGACGGAACTTAGTGTATAGTTGATAATCAGTTTGATTCTTCGATACTTTTAAAAAAAATAGATGTGCGATTAATTAATATGTGTCATCTATTTATTTGGGGATTTCGGCGGGGGACATCAGCTTCACTGTTGGCTTGTTCATATTCCTTAATTCTTATTTCTTCATTTGTTATCGTATTTCGACACTTGTATACTAAAATTAACATTTGTATCTCAAAATCAACATTTGTTTCACAAATCAGACATTAGATTTGTAAGTTGTATCTTTGTTTAACTTAATTGTATTTTAATATGATGATGAAATGTCTTTTAGAAAATCAAAACATTACATTTACATTTCACCATAATTACACAACGAAAAACAAATCTCGAACCATAGATTTCCAAATACAAATCTACATGTATACCAATCTTGCAAATCCCCGCAAATCCATCTAATGTGACCACAGAGAGTGCTAGTGATTGGCTGCCAAACGGCTCTACCAAACGATTAAACAGTAGCTCGCACTATACGGATCTTTGATAACATAGTCATTCTTCATTATTATGTAAAGATTTATATGACAATTATCAAACTGATTATATATTTTTAATTTTAAACAATGCACTTATAATCCTATAATAATTTAGTTGGGGAGATAAATTATACTAAAATCGTTTCATTGATCAGCATATACGACAGATTAATGTATGCATTCAATAATGTTCCATAATCAGACTTACACACTTACTGCAATCAAACATAATAATGTTCTAATCAGTTGTATTTGAAAATTGATTTTAAATTTATTGTAACCACTTTAAAAAGTTAAAAACTGCGAGAGGAAGGATTACAAATTTAACAACTGTAGAGGGAAAATCTATTACGAAATCAGTTTTCAATATTTTAGAAATAGTAATACTAATTATATACCCGTATTTTGTTTATTGATATGTTTGGCAGATAAATATCCAGAACCAGAACCCATTGATGGAACAACGAATTCGGAGCATAGAGATGGTTCTCCTATTCTTAAATCTATACACACAACAAGTTCGGGTATGTAACATATTATATCTGTACCGGACGTAACATGGAAAATGTACCCACTCGTGTACACGTACAAGGCCCTTTGTAAATTGAAGGAAACTAGGCGGCAACGCCGCTATCGGGACACCCTCCACCACCACCACCACCACCTCACATTGCACACGATTATTATGTTTGTCTCAAAAAATATTCTGTTGAGGAGACATTACACCCTATTCCATTCCATTTTCTGACGTCACGTGATATATTTTTAAATAATTTATTCTTTTACCTTGTTTTATTACTTTAAGTTGCTAGACCTTTTAAATCTAGAATTCATTACTTTAGATATTAAATGTTAGCTATCCTTAAATACGAATCGACATAAATAATGGCTTTCGGTTGAACACCAATCTTCTTTTCAGATACGTCTGAATTATGGGTTGATTGCTCGGATTCGGATTCAAGTTGTAGCTTTCCAGAGTCTGTAACTACATCAATGCCCAGCTCTTGTCATGAGTTGGGAAGCAGAACTTACACCTTTGCATATTATCAAGATAAACATGAAGATGAAGCGACGGAAATTAAAGGTTCGGAGATTCCACCAGAAACTACTTGGTTTGAAGAAAGTGAAGCTGTCTACAGTGGTAAAAAAGACAAATTGTCGGTTTGCCTTCAGTATGATATTGACCTTAAGGATGATATGAAAGGTAATCTTCCACCATGGGAACCCTTTTACCCAGATATGAAGTCTCCAAGAGATATAGATGAATGTATTAAAACACAACCGAATAAATACAAGAAGTGTATTATACATATTGAATCAGCACAAATAGCTGTCGCTCGTCCAGTGGATTCACCAACAGGCAGTGAAATAGAGATTCGTGGACGATCAAAAATAGGACAAACTTTTCACGAGGATGTTGTTTGTGTTGAAATCATAGACGATAATTCCCAAACAGATCCCAATAGAAATCGTGTTTATGGTAAAGTCGTGGGTATATTTGATAGAAATCGACACAGGAACGTAAAGAATCCGGTATTTGTGTGCACCGTTGACGACCATGAAGCTCATCTTATGCGACCTATTTGTAAAACCATTCCAAAAATAAGCACATTTCACAATAAGATTGCAAAGAATTTCCCAAAGATGAAAAACTGGCGAATAGAAATGTACCAGATTGATAACCACAAAGTAAAATTCAAAAAATATTTTAGACTTCCACCAGACAAACGAAGTGAATATCTCTTTGTTGTAGCTTATATTGCGTGGGATTCAAAATTTGTCTACCCTAAAGGTGTAGTATTAGATGTTATAACAAGTCAAAGTTATGAAACATGCCTTAAGGTTCTTGACATGCAGTATAATATCGATCCTGTATATCCTCAGAATGTTGTAGAAGAAACTAAAAAACTAACAAAAGGCACCATCACTTCTCGGATGGGTATTGAGCAGGTTATCACGATAGACCCCAAGGGTTCCAAAGACCTGGATGATGCCCTAAATATCGAATGTATTTCTGATAATGAGTTCGTCGTTGGCATTCATATCGCAGACGTTGCTAGTTGGGTAAAAAAGGGTTATTATATCGATCTAGAAGCGAGAAGACGAGCTGTTAGTTTCTATCCAACGAAATGGAGGACAATTCATATGATTCCCGAACCACTGAGTCAAAATCAATGTAGCCTCATTGAAGGTGAGAACAGACAAGCCATATCAGTTTATTTTCGCTTAAATGCTGAAGGTGAAGAACTTGATGATCCCAGGATTCAGAAATCTGTTGTTAATTCCGTAAAACAGTTAACTTATCAAGAAGCCCAAGAAATTATAGAAGGAAAGTGGCAGGGAAAAGGTGAGAAAACAGAATTCGTGAAAAATCAAGTTATTAATTTGTATAAATTATCAAAGTCAGTAAGAAAAGTGCGACTATGTGATAAGATGCTACACGTGCCAGGTGAAGACTGTGTTGAAGCTCACTATTTAGTAGAGGAATTCATGATCATGGCCAATTTCTTTGTTGCTAAACTGTTAAACAGTAAATTCCCCAGTGGTATACCAGTGCGTTATCAGGAAAACCCCGACAATGTATCATTAATTGAATGGTTCAACCAGTATCAAACCATTGGAAATGTGATTTTAAATCTCCAAGGCAATTCATGTGAAAGTGTTGCTGGACAGCACACTTTGTCACTGGGGACAGCTCGAGGACTCGACGGGAACTACGTTACTATTCAAAAAAATGTGTGGAAACAAATCATAGATGCTATTCAAAACAAAGACTTTGAGAAGGCAAGGAGGTTTTTATGCATGGATGAACTGCATCCAGGACATTTCGTTGCTCGGAAGAAGTGGGAGAATATAATGGAAACAGCACAATACACTTGTAGTGCCGAAGAAGGTATAAACTTGAATCATTTCTTATTACAGAAGAAGCCATATACCCATTTTACTTCTCCCATCCGCCGTTATGTGGACTTAGTTGTCCAGAGATTTATTCATGCCTATCTTGACGGAACCAGTGCGCCATACACAAACCAAGAGATACAAGAACTTTGCATCCATCTGAATGAACGTACAAAAATGCAAAAACAGCACCAAAAGGAAACATCAAAGATAGATTTAGCAATGGATCTAGGACGGCATCCTGTTCCTTTTAATGGATACATCAGCCATACGGATGACGATGGTTTACAACTTCAGATACCTAAATGGAAATTTTTATCAAATCAAGAAGTCCCATTTCATTTATTAGATGTTTGTGAAAAGCCCGAAGTTAAGCAAGATAAGTATATAAATGGGGACATTACAACAACTACATGGAAAAAGAGAAGTTACCACACACTTGGAACTCAAGTCAGTGTTCGCCCTAAACTGAAGCCTTACGAAAAGCTAGAGTTAGATCCCAACCAGAATTGCGTGTATTTGAAGATTTCAACCTGGGCAAAGCTCATCTCTGATGTTGTTGGGTCGTTGAATGTCGAAATAGGGCAACAGAATCGTAAAAGGCACCGAAAAGATGCCATGGAAATAGTTGATTCAATGGGATTAGATGGACAAAGACCACCAGTTCGATTTGGAACTGCCGATATTGTGAGCTGTGAAGGAGGAAACAACACTACCTTACTTAATTTATGCAGGTTAGTTTGTTTTGTGAAAAAAATTAAAATCAGCAATCCCCCCCCACCAGTTAATACATGTATTTTAAACAAATGAAATCAAATTAATATAAATTTCCAGAATCTTACCCAACCATTTGAAAACATAATCAAATATTATTTTTAGATCTTATTTTCGACTAATAAGACTAATAAGGTATGCTTTATTGTCTGATGTTGCTATTTTATTTTGAAATGTGACCATCTGTATGTCTGTGTAAATATACACGTGCAAGTAATTAACGTGTGTCATCTATTTATTTTGGAATTAAGCCTGGTAACATCAGCTTCACCGTGTTACTTGTTCTTCCAGATTCAGTTACAATTTTGCACCTGGAAGATTGATTTCAGCAGAGATGTCTTCTGTGATCGAGAAAGGTATACCAACACCAAAATTATCACTACTTCATTTAACAAAGAACTTGAGCTTCTGTCTGACACATAAAGAAAATCCTGTAGCATGTTTAGCCAGATTTGCCCATCAGTCAACATCAGAAGCAACATGGCAAAGCGTGCAAGATTATATTGAAGCTTGGCATGCAGTTTTAGAAATGGAAGCTGCTGTGACCAGTGCAAGTAGTGGAGACGAGACGATATTTCTCGAAGATGTCACAATAGACTTTTTAGGTTTACGAAAAGGACGTTTCATGTTAGGGCTACAATTTTGCATAGATAGGAATATATTTGGTTTAGATTTTGCAGTACCAAGAAAAGGTACTATGACGCCTATATCTGATTTTATGTGCATTCGCTTTGCTCCTGAAAGAGAAGGTGATAGAAGGTTTACATGGGTTGCTCATGGGGTAATGGAATCTATATCACGTGATGATGATATGCTTTGTGTGCATTTTAATTTACACAGAAAGGCATCCACATTAATACCAAGGTGTATGATGGACGGAGATACCAAACGGAGTTTTACTATTGAACTTTTACCAAGATCTAAAACTGACAGGTGAATATATATTTTTCCCATTTTCATTAAAATTCTTTACTAGTGTTTAATGCTAAAAGACACAAATATGTGTAGCTGTGTATAAAGGATACACAGTCTTCGACATTGGAAACACGACTTATTGGCCAATTTAAATCAACATTGATGTTATCATACCGTGAAAAGATGAGCACACGAATCACGTGTCGGAATGCTTTCGAGGGTCATTTGTAATGAAGCCACTACATATTCCATGTAGGAGGATACTACCCGTGTAGATTGGAATAACCTGACGCCAAAGACTGCCATTCATTTTGGACTCTTCGCGTATTTCGCCGAACATACATGCTTAGAAATTACAGTAAAAACAAAAAACGATTGAATGTAAATCAGTTTATATACATTCATATTACATTATTATATGCGTTGCGACCCATTTGTGTCCATTGCTAGGTACCAAAGAATAGCGATTTACCTCCTTGTAAACTTCCGTTCTGTCACCTTCAGTAGGTTGATGTGTGATATCCTCCGCAAACTAAAGCTATAGGGATCGAGAGTTTGGACTAGAATCTTAGATTGAAACAGGAGGAGTTCTTCGGCATGCAAAACATGTTCAATTTGAAAAATAAAATTGCTATGGTTTGGATCATCAAAGAAGGGACTTTCTAAACGCCCACACGTCTCATGTTGTCATGAGAGGATGACCCCTATCGATATTTAGCGTTCCGCGACTTTCCGTTCCGGGCTTAACCCCACCTCCTTCCCCTTTGTCGAAAAGCCCGTGAATGCGATAGAGGGTTATAGTTTTTAAATTTGGTGTGAAACATTGAGGTCGTGAAAGGATTAACACTATTAAGGTTTCTGCAACGTTCCGTTCCGGAGTTATCCCACTTTGTGAAACGCGACGCAGTCAATAGTTTTTGGTATGAGGTAATGGGATCATGAGGAGAAGAACCCTATCGATATTCAGCCTTCCGCTTTTGCTGACATCCGTGTAAACGCCATGCAGGCTATTTTTGAACGGATTGTTCAAGTTTGGTGTAAAGCATTGGAGTCATGAAATGATGAACCTTATCGATTGTTTGTGTTCAGATTTTCAGAAACATGATATAGGCTACAGTCTTAAATGCGTGTGTCTTAAATCTGGCGTGAAGAGTTGTTGTCATGGGAGGACGAACCCTATCGATTTTCAGCGTAGTGTGCTGTAACTATTCGTTTTAGATTTATTACCCCAGCCCCAACCCACACACCCCGCTTTGACGAAAACCTTGCGAACGCAATAGATTGCAACCGATTTATTCAAGCTTCGAAACACGACTGAGATATTGTTTGTCTTTCGAATAAGCGGCTCCCGGGACATAGCTGGTTTTGTGGGCGTATGTCAACGCTTTTCGTGCCTATCTGTTGGGCTATTAACGCCTACTGATTTATCATTATTAGTTCAATAAATACAATTCCTTTCAAATTAAGAGTGAATTCATAGAAACCGTCATAAGTGATATCATGGTTTGGTGGGTTTTATCAACGGGGTTTAAAGTAATCTCTTAAATTGAAAAAAAAAACCGGAAACACGCCTCAGGTTTCGGGGTGCTAGTCAACAACTATTTTTATGGTGGAGACAAATTTTTACCGATATCTAAAGCATCCTTTCATGTTGTATTTGATGTAATTAGTTAACAACTGTTAGCTTATACTTTTTTGTAATTTATCATATTTACAGGCGATTAAAGAATGCCCTGCAACCTGAAAAGATGAACGATGCGCCTTTAGCTAAAGCCATTGCTTTAAATCGTCCTATACCAAGATTAGGTTTGTTATATCTTAATAGCCCCCCCCCCTCACCTTATAGCCTTGGGTTCCCGGTTTTCTCCAGACTCTTTCACGCAAGCAAATTATTGAAACGATGAACCATGTGTCATTCCCGAAATCATCCAGTTAGTGTATGGAAATGTATACTTTTTCACGCCGCCAATATCATAACTGTAAAAGGTATAAAATACCCTTAAACAATCTATCAAATACCAGTTGTATCATTAGAAATAAAAGCACAATCCCAGTGTAATAAGGCTGACAGTGAAATACAAGCTTTATGGATTATTTCGTGCACAATCATCAAATAGATCAACGTTTATTGTTACCTTTTCGCTAACCGAGATTCAATCAGGCGATTATACTGCCATGGAATATGACCTCCTGCCAAACTCCACTGGTTATATTTCGGTTCTTAGGCGGATTTGAAATAGTTATTATCGCCATATAATTTTGCCATTAACTATTAGACTCGAGCATTTATTGTTTCTCATCTTTATATTTTATTGCTGTAGATGGCGATCATTATCACCTAGGCATTATGGCGGAGCGTGATATTTCAAAAGATCTACAAAAGAGAAACAATTTACCAGGAAATAATGTAGGTCAACACGAGGCCATTGACAAAGCTTTGACGTCATCGTTTACTTTGATACAAGGTCCCCCAGGTAAATATTTATGAAACAATTTAGCAGTGGTGGTATATTTTACGCTTGACCAATGGTAGTCTTGATCACCGAAAACCTCCTAGTCATCAAAGTACTGAGGGTCTGGGTCTAGGATTATGAATGTACATAAACTGATTTACATTCAATCGTTTCGGTTTTTACATTAATTTTTAATATGTTATGTTCGGGGAAATACGCAGTCTTTGGTGTCTGGTAATTCCAGTCTACACGGGTAGTATTCTCCTACACGAATTATGTTTAGCCTCGTTCATCGAGTCGCTTCATTGAGTAGCATTCTTTGGAGTCTGGTTATTCCAGTCTACATAGGTAGTATTCTCCCCTGTTATTTGGTTAGCCTCGTTCATCGAGTCGCATCATTACAAATGGCGCTCAAAAGCATTCTGGCACGCGATTCGCGTTACAATTTTAAAATATTCAATGTCTTAAATTTCTTAAATTAGGATATCAGAAGCCCATCTTTTCATGGTAACTTAACAGCATCAAAATCAATGTGGATTTAAATTGACCAATAAGTCATGTTTGCAATGTCGAAGACTGAGGATGATTTTAAATTAATTTCATGGGCGTCGACATCTTGTTTTACCTCCGTTAGAATTTGTTCATATGATCATGTAAATGACCGGATAATCGAGCCAATGACCTATTATTCTCAAATGTTGACAACCCATCCAGACTAATATTCGTATTTGTCTAAATGCTAGAGACTAGCTAGACCGATGAACATCATACCCAACGGTTTAACAGATAATGCAATAAAATGAAAAGAGGTTTATCACGTTACTGTTCTGCTCCTACTGGGCTAGTGAAGACGGGCATACGCCATGCAGTGTGCTATGAGAGAAATTTCGCTCGGACAGCTGCGCTACGGCCTACTCTTTACTTCGAATTCCAACTGTCAAGGGTTCTTTTGTGTGCACGCCAATGTGTACACGGAATCTCGGTTTTTTCGTCCCATCCGAACGACTATACGTTGTCCATTACCAGACCCCCCGTCCTACACCGCTGACAAAGGGAACCACACCGGAAATCCTGATGAACTTTCTCGGCCGGATCGAACACAGGACTCCTTGTTAGCGAGCCAGCGTCCTACCGTGGCTCCCTTAACAGATAAAGTAATGAAATGAAATGGGGTTTAAAGTAGCTAAGTCTCTAACTCAATATCATCCAAAATCTTCAACATTGAAAACACGAATTATTTGTCAATTTAAAACAACATTGATGCTGTGATCTTACCGGAAAAAGATGGGCTTCTGATATCCAATATTTAAGACAAAATAAATATTTTACCATTGGTACACGAATCGTGTACCATAATGCGTTTCGGCCCCCGTTCTAGCAAGAGACCCGTGGAACGAGGCTAGACATATTGCACCAAACCAAACGGCGTATGTAGACTGGAATAACCAGACGCTAGGAATTTGCATTCGATTGAGACTGCTGGCTTATTTCACGGAACATAACTGATTTGAAATTAGAGTAAAAACGGAAACGATTGAATGTAAATCAGTTTATATACATTCATATGTCAATTTCTAGGTCCCAAATGTTAGCGATTAAGCTCCTTTAACGTCAAACAGATAAAGTGTTAGCCAATAAGATAAAGGGGTATAATAATAAAGCTGGTTGTGGTTTCATCTCGTTTATTATAATATAATAACTATTCGACTACGACATACAAGAACATCACATTATTCTACATAATTATATTATCAGGTTGTATTCATCAGCTTCCAAAGTCACGTACGCCTCCATTGCCCCAAGCCCCTTCTTGTTTCTATGTTCATTAACAACCTTATAAGTATTTAACAATCAATTACAAGGCATAATGCATGTATATTAGCATCCTTCATTAAACAGGCAACCACGTGGTATTATATAATATGACCCCATTAATGCACGTGAGATATATTATGAACAAATATAGGACTTCCAAGGGCGTGTCATATTTCCTAATCTCCAAAACCAAAGCTTCAATACCCAGTGAACAGGTTATCCAAAAAAAGGCGACGCAGGCACCATAAGCGGAGATGTTTATGATACCAATTCACATTTGTGATGTATAATGTACGACAGAAGCTGCAGCATACTTCATCTTTCTCAAAAGAATAATGTCCGCTGAACCAGAATCTGGACTGGCGTGAGATGTTTTAAAGTCGATATGTTTTAATTACTGGTATATATAATGCACAACAAATCTATTGAAATTTGTATGCTTTCGTCCGTTAGGTTATATAAGTACACGAGTCTTCGGATCTACATTGTTAATGGATTCCCAGTGTGTTTATTGTATGCTTTATTCTGTTAGGTTAAATAGTACAAGTCCTCGGATCTACATTGTTAATGGATTCCCAGTGTGTTTATTGTATGCTTTATTCCGTTAGGTTAAATAGCACTAGTCCTCGGATCTACATTGTTAATGGATTCCCAGTGTGTTTATTGTATGCTTTCGTCCGTTAGGTTAAATAGTACTAGTCAAGATTCCCAGTGTGTTTATTGTAATCCAAGGTTTGTTCTCTTAGGAACCGGTAAAACCTACACTGGAATTAAACTGGCATACCTGTTTGCCAAAATAAATAACATCAGAGAAATAGAAAAAACTGGAGAAAAATCAAAGGCTGATGAAGATGAGAAAAAGAGCCAGAAACATCAAGTTCTTTATTGTGGGCCATCAAATAAAGCAGTTGATGTGGTTGCTAGTAAGTGTACTGAATGGTCATTATTTTTAATTTAGTTAGTAAGAAAATATAATACAAACCTGCAATCCACGATATGCATCAGGGAAATCGAGAAATGGAAAAAGATCATTACATGTATCAAACTGTATTGTTGGCCAGAATAAATATAGAGTTGACGATCATACACAATCACAAGTACTTTTATTAAAAAAAGATTTTGGCTGTTTCAGATTTACATTGGTTTTTATTGATTTTGCGCTTTCATAGAAAATTAAACAATCATAATTTTCGTACTATCTAGCCCATTCATCATGAAAGTGTTTTTATTCTCAGATGTGCTTAATTACGTAACAACACTGGTCTTAACATGGGATATTATGTTTCTTCTTTATCAGAAGTATGTGAAGATTTGACTTACTGTGGAACTGCACAAGACAACTTTCTCTCGTCTGATTTTGTGTTGCGACAATCAATAATAAGGATGACATGATGCGACTTTATGAGTCACAAATATTAACTTTTTTCCTTCGACAAATTAAATTCTAAAACATTTTTTTTTATGTATTAGAAAAATAAATAAAGACGTTTAAAGTATTTGTAGGTAAAAATTATTTCCTGTTTAAGTTTAAATGGGTATTAAAATGAGTAAAAGGCGCCATTCTGCTCGAATCAGTAATGTCTTATGTAAACAATGCGCGCGTCATTGAGCCAATCATTAATGGCGCGTGATATGATGTCGTGTGTTGAAGACAGTCATCTTTTACAGAGATATTAGAATACTTTCGTAAGACTTTCGTTATACCCTTACCGCGATACTGTCAGACTTCTTTGCGTGTTCCTCTTATCGGAATAGTATTCATATTTTACTCTATAGAATATATCTATATCTACCGATTGCGCATCCGTTTGAAAGGAAAACAGATTTTAATCGAGTGCATCTCCCAGCAAGACTCATTGATATGTGAAAACTTCTCCCCTCAAATTATGTTGCAAAGCTAACCGTATGCCGTTTCTCGTTTAAGGAAATTTAAAGAATAAACTTGGTGAAATTTGCCCGAAAATAATTAGAATATATGGATCAGTGATAAAGAATGAAGATTTCCCTATACCGGGACAATACATATCCAAATCAGCAGTAAATCGGGAGGGTCGGTGTCCTAAAGATATGTACGACATTTCACTTCACCATGTCATAAGGCAATCTGGTAAGCCATATGCAAAAGAAATCCGAAAATTCGACGAGGTATTTAGAAAGGAGAGAGAAAGGCCAGATTCTCAAGGTATCTCTGCTAAAATTATCCGAAGTTACAACAAACTTGTAAATGAAGCCGAGAGACATGAACTTCCAAATTATGACGTCATTCTGTGCACAGCTGCTATTGCCGGAAGTCAAAAGTATACCTCGGCAACAAATATCTTTCAGTGTATTATTGATGAGTGTGGTATGTGTACAGAACCAGAGAGTATGCTTCCTATTATAGAAACAAAAGCCAAACAAGTTGTTCTTATAGGAGATCACAAACAACTTCGTCCTATTGTATTATGTTCTGAAGCAGCTAAACTGGGTTTGGAGACATCTCTGTTTGAAAGGTATGCGGAAAGGGCTGTTTTTCTTAACAGACAGTATCGAATGGTATGTATTAGTATATATTTATTTATATGCCCAGTTTTGTTGTTCTTGCATTGTTGGCAGCCCTGTCGGCCCTAGCTGAATGATCAGAAATCTTGTACCAGGGCTTGATTTTATAAAATTCTAGAGTAATTCCCCAGACCTCAAGTCAAATTTCTGAACACGATCCGAAGGTGAGATGGCCTAGAATGTCGCGCTTCGAGCTCTAGCTGCTGGTAGCTCACCTGTGGCTTTCAGTCGTCGTTTCAGACCCTGGTGTGGCGTGTAGAGATATATTGGCACCTTCTCAACCTGGAAAGACCCATGTGCATGGCCCGAATATATACTAAAATAAGGCTCCTTGTCCGAGATATTATCCTCGGTAGAAGCGGAAGGTAACTTCTATCTGTCCCCACAGTATTTTGTATTTTATATGACTGAATGAGTGTAGTTACTGGTATTTTTGTCTTTTGGTTCACAGCATCCAAGTATATGTAAATTTCCATCAACACAGTTTTATGGTGGCAAACTGGTGACGGGCGACTCACTATCATGGAAAATTGACCGTCCATTGCGATTTTTGCCAGAAAATACCTTTATGATGTTTTACCATGTTGAAGGTGTTGAAGAATCTCTAACTGTTCATACTGACGAAGGTCATGAAAAGTCCAAGTCGAATACAGCAGAAGCTAATAAAGTGGTGAATAACATAATAAATATTTCCATAATTCTTTATAAATCTTCTAAATCTTATACCTATTATTATTATTATTATTGTTCGATTTATATAGCGCTTCATTACACGTGAAGTGTTTCTAAGCGCACATCACAAACATATACTTCAAACACACAGAAACAATCAAAATCAGGAGAACATAATTAAACACAGCTGCCTGTTAGGCGCTATTATTCAAAGGTTTATATCCAACAAATCAACCGGCTAATCTCAATATTGAACTCAGTCAAGGTATTACCTGATGAACACCTACACCAAGTAGAGTTCAAAAATAAAAACGAAGTTTAAAAGAATCAACTTCAATAACAAAAATTAAACAATCAAAAACTAAACAGATAAATCAAATTCAAACGAAACAAATAAAACAAAGAAAATGAAAAGAGCAGTTCGTTACCATTAACAAAATAAAGGAAATCAACTTGTGAAAATTTTTTCAAAAAATAAGATCAAAGTAACACTAATATATTCTTTAAATGGCATTTAGTAATTGGAACATAATCAGTGAAATAAACCACAGTAATTGTTATCCATAAATAGTGTGTTATTTAAAGTAACACTAATGTTAATAATTATCAAAAGGAACCAAGATCTTAATGATAAAAACATATATTTAAAGTTTCATCCAAATTGGATAAAAACTGTGGTCTCTAGAGGGTCCACAACCTTGATATACCATATCTATCTATTTCTTAATTAATTACAGGTATGTAAATTATTGTACCGGTAACCTAAATTTTATGAATATTGTTGTGATGTTATGACGATGTGCAATGCATATTGATATTGTGTTTACCTGTTTAAGATGAGTCAATATAAATCTTTTCTTAAATATTTAGCACCCATGCCATTTAATTGGACGTACGGTATCCGAGACTTTGTTTAATATTATCATAGCAATCCAATAGTACATGTACCTATGCCTATTTAAAGATACATTCCTGTGTACAAACTGGGTGATTTATGGTATTATAATAGGACTAAACACATATTCAAACTAATTAATTTGTCATAATTTTGCTTCAAATCCTTCTCAAAACATTGTAATTTAGGCTAAATAAATCTTGTCAAAACATTCAAACATACGGTAGGCCTATACTGAAATGAAATAAAAAAAATTCAAGTTTTAACAAAATCGGATAAAAATTGTGACCTCTATAGGGTCCACAACCTTGATATACCGTATTTTTACGCTATTTGAGAACGAACGGCGGCCATTTTGTCTGTCAATTTTGGGCCGATTTTCACGAAATTCGAACTCAGCCCTCCTTAGGGTGTAACGGTGATATAATAATAGGGTTTTTAAAATCGGATAAAAATTATGACCTCTATTGGGTCCACAAGCTAAAAACGCGATTTTTCGTACAATCAGGGGGCATAATTCAGGAAGTTACCGTCCGATATGCGCGAATATCGAAAGGAACAAAGATGTTTGGGTTATAAACTTACATTTCAAATATCTTTCCAGATGCCTTTCCGAAACCTTCATGTGGATTTATGCTTCTAAAATATTATTTCTATTTCATTAGGAAAGAGAATTTCTCTCAAATTCAAATTATACAGATGAAGCTAATCTAATTACTACTTAACCCAGATTTTCTGTTTAATTCATGTAATATCATTTAATGAGGTTGTTTCAAAATATAAAATGATTACTGCAACTACTGATAAATATCACTCACTAGTAATACTATTTAAAAAGGAAAAATAACAAAAAAAAAACCCAACAAAAAACAAACTAAGCGAAAGAAGGTGACAAAACTAGAATATTGTGAGCTAAAGTAGTATATTTATTGCAGATTGATTTATTTTTACACATGGTAAGAAAGGAAGGTTGCCATCCTAAATCTATCAACATTATGACCCAATACAAATCACAAATGTCACTTCTTCAGAAACGTCTAAAAGAACTAGACTTTGACGTAACGGTGAACACAGTTGTGGCCAGTCAAGGTAAATAGATAATTGATAATGGATAATCCACGTCGAACCTGTTCGTTCGTCCTTCCGTTCATTGTTTGTGTAAGGATAATTCATTTCAGTACATATTTACGTGGATTAAGCCGTGAAAAATCTGATGTAAATGGCGCATCTGGACTTTAATGATAACCAACCAAACTCTAACCTTGAGTCACAATTTTCATAATGACTCACACGATTAACACCACAACTTGATTGACGGGGCGCCCTAAACGGCTTGATCTGTGGGGTGCGTTATCCCGGAGGGGCGCCTATAATGACATGATTGGGGGGCGCCTTATAACGACCATATGATTGTCGGGCCGCACATAATGCTTAATGCCGATTAAGATTGGTTGGGCGCCCACGACTTGATCAATGGGCGCGCAAAACGGCATGACTGGTGGGGCGCCCATATTGCCGTGATTGGTGGGTCGCCCACGATGACATCATGGGCACCTGTTACGCGCAGGCAAAGCTCATAGTGCTGATTCAGTCTATGTTAGTATTACTAACTTATTATGCTTAAATCGCCTGTAATATGTGCCACTCAGGTGGATAATCAGTATTGTTTTCTTTGTAACGTAAGATATTTAAATAGGCCTAGCCTATATAGTCAATTCAGTTATAGATGCATCAACACTGTTATAAGTTTACGAGCATATATAATTATTATTTTACTATTAAAATCATTATTATATATATATATAATGCTACCAAAAAGTCATAGTGATGACAGTATCCAGCTTCAATTATTTAAAGTTTATCGGCTGTTCATTCATTGCCAGCCTTTCGGAAGTGTCAAATGGAGGCAAACCGCGTGCGTTCAATGTCATAAAATTAACGTGTGAAAACTACTTTACCCCGTTCCTAATTCAGTTTGTCAGTTTTCAATAATGCGTATTATTGTGCCCCACCTCATGGGCGAGGGGGACACATCAGCAGGATAGCTTGCCTATTAATATTTTACTCGTATTTTTCAAATATTCATCGGCTGTTTCTTCAGAGCTTCTTTCATCAACTCCTGCGTTTGACATTTTTCACGCGCTTATGTTCCAGACGCTGTCATTGGCCGAGTTACTCGCGCTTTCGTTCTAATGAATCTGATTGGTTAGTTTACGCGAGCTAGCGTTCCAATCCCTCTGATTGGCGGAACGTTTAAATCTTAGCAGACGACAGTCTTGAGGCTCGGCACTTCGGTCTTTGGCTGCCACTGGGTGTAGTTCGTTTAGTGTAAAAGTCTTTATTACTTTTAAGGCCCATTTTGCCTTAGGAAAAACTAATGGATTCTTTGATGGTAGGTTAATAGCAGTCTAATTATGCCGATGGAAAACTCTAGACCTTTATGTAGGCTGGAGAATGTGTTTTTTTTAAGTTAGGCCTTAGGCCTAGTTTCCCTCGTCAATCACTATGAGTGATTAGATTAGCATCATTCTTTTAGACTAGTCCTATATTTAATATTTTGTCCGGATTTCCTAACCTCCAGAACTGGCCTTTTTGTATAGGCCTATTACTACAGGTTGTTATTTTCAGCGTAATCATTCGTGGGAAAACCCCACACCCTACCTACCTTTGGGGAAAAATCCCCATTCTCACCAATTAGTGGGTAAATCCCCACTTTTATCATTTTTGGGGAAAAATCCCCATTCTCATCAATTAGTGGGTAAATCCCCGCTTTTATCATTTTTGGGGAAAAATCCCCATTCTCACCAATTAGTGGGTAAATCCCCACTTTTATCATTTTTGGGGAAAAATCCCCATTCTCATCAATTAGTGGGTAAATCCCCACTTTTATCATTTTTGGGGAAAAATCCCCATTCTCATCAATTAGTGGGTAAATCCCCGCTTTTATCATTTTTGGGGAAAAATCCCCATTCTCACCAATTAGTGGGTAAATCCCCACTTTTATCATTTTTGGGGAAAAATCCCCATTCTCATCAATTAGTGGGTAAATCCCCGCTTTTATCATTTTTGGGGAAAAATCCCCATTCTCACCAATTAGTGGGTAAATCCCCACTTTTATCATTTTTGGGGAAAAATCCCCATTCTCATCAATTAGAATTACTGGGTAAATCCCAATTTGGTCGTTTTTGGGGAAATAATCCCTACTTTTTAGCACTTTTGGGGAAAAACTATAGGAATACAATCTTGCTTGCAGCAAGTGTAAGGGCGAAGGGTGGTAAAAAAAAAAGGGTCATTTATTTAACATATAATAGACCTATATAGTTATAGTAGTATTTAGTGTCTTATATTAAATTAACTTAATATTGTTGGCCTATTAGGCCTATTTTATTATAATTTATGCAATTTGTCGCCTAATTTCTTCATTATACATTGCTGAAGACAGTAGAGTCTATAGTCTATAGGCCTATAATAAATTAATTGTTTTTATATATGTAATAAAATTTATTAACTTTTAACTTTTGTTTGTCTTATTCTTTTGGTTTAGCGCTAGGCTGGAGCGAACCCTATTTTATTTACGTTCTTTGTTAAGGGAATCGAGGAACCGTAACATTGGTGTCAGAAGTGGGATCAGACCACAAAATTCCCTTAATATTATTACAAACTCCAGTACTAGTGTGCCAAAAGAATAAGTCAATAGTTAAATCATAATTAAAAAATATAATCAAACGCACCTGAAATAAAGAAAAACGTTTCAGTTTATTGTGATATAGTTAAACAAAAACCAAGGAAAAAAAAAAAAAAAAAACAAATCCCTGAATAATCAGGATCCTTCAAAATGGCAACTTTGGATGATACAGAAGTTATCATTAATAATAAAAATAGTGCTGTAGCAAACCCAACTAGTGAGGGCCAGAATGAAAGTGTACAAAGGGAGAATTTATCCCAAAATTTAAATGAATCACTTCAGTCTGTCGAAAGTGACCGTCCCAGTAGTTTGATAAATAACAGCACAATCTTAGATCAAATCAGCCAACAATTGGAATATCTAAGAAGCGAGAACCATAAAGGGTTGGTTGAAATGAAACAAGAAATAAATGTTATTAAGAAGGATTTCAATGCTTTGTCTTGTGAACTAAATGGGTTTCGTAAAAGTGCTAGACTTGAACCGAATGGCATAGTTAGGGATGTATTTCCTGAGGGTGATTTTCAAAGTAGTTCTCCCATTACGCAATCAAACCAAAATGATAATCATTTGAGTTATCCACGTTTTAATAGTAGAACTCATGAAAATAATCATTCTGTTAAAATGAGGCCCCATCAATATGATGGCTTAGAAGATTTTGAGGAGTACCTTTCGCAGTTTGAAATTGTTTCAAGCATAAATAGGTGGAGTTATAATGACAAATCCTTGTATTTAGCCAGCAGCTTAACTGGTAATGCCAGAGCTATTTTGACCGAACTCGGTCCTCTGGAAAGAAAAGACTTCAATACTCTTGTTAGGACTCTCAGTATTAGATTCGGCTCACTTGAACGGTCAGAAATGTATCGAGCCAGACTACAAACTCGTTGTAGAGGAAAGTCTGAAACTCTGCCTGAATTGGCCCAGGCCGTTCGTAAATTAACACGGCAGGCTTATCCTACAGCTGATTCTTCGCTCACTAACGTCTTGGCTCTCGATCATTTCGTTGATTCCATCCAAGACTCAGACATGAGGTTGAGAATACGAGAACTACGTCCAAAAGATATTAATGAGGCTGAAACACATGCCATTCGGTTAGAAGCGCATAGACTCGCTGACAGGCAACGAGGACGTTCTGTGCATCAAATCAGTCCGGAGCCCGTTTCTGTGTGTCACTCTCAAAGCCAATCAGTGCCTGAAAAATATAGTGAGATAGATATCAGAACACTAAATAGATCAATCAATACGCTAGATAATACGACCAGACAGCTGGTTCAAACCTTAAGTAATAATAAATCATATTACCAGCCGCCTAGGCAAAGAAATGTTTGGAATGGGGGCAGTAGTAGCAGTAACAATTATAATAAGCAATACCAGACAGGCACTGATAACAACAGAGGCAATAGTTATGTGCCACGGGATCAAAGGAGAGAAAATAATTGGGAAATAAGGGGAGGTAACTCCGGTGAACCCCACCGCCCACAAGATCAAAAGAGGAACTGGGAAAGACCTCAGTCACCTCAAAAGTCCCAGGACCAACGCAATAATTCAAGTAGGTCGGGAAACTAAATGTCGTTGGACTTGCGAGTCAAAGTTCAACGGGTGACATAGATGACTCACTTAATAATAAATCAAATGATATAGTGATAAGTAGTATTTCAAATGACCATAATGGCTTGTTTGTACATGCCAAAGTGGAAAACCTAGATGCCCCATTGTTAGTGGATACAGGGGCAAACATTAGCATACTTTGTGAAAAATCCATACAAAAGCTAAAAACTATGTGTGAAGTACATATTGAACCAGTACAACTAAACCTAATCACTGCTACGGGGGAAAGAGAACCGTTCTTAGGGAAATGTACTGCAAATGTGATTATTGGTGCACATAGTTTTAAACATGAATTTCTTATCGCAAAAATTACCAATTTTGGTATTATCGGAATCGATTTCTTGACAAAGCATAACATAGATATTTTAATTATGAAAAATTGTTTATCAATAAAGGGGGATGAAGTGCCATGTTATAGATATCAAAAGGGAGATAATCAATGTTGTTGCAGGGTCTCTGTGGCAGAAGATATAGTGATTCCTCCCAATAGTGAGATTATGATTATGGGTAGGGTGATAGATCCTATACCTCATGAGAGGACCACAATCATTGAACCTACTGAGAATTTTACGCAAAAACATGATATTTTAATGGCTAAAAGCATAGTAAACCCAAAGTGCGGGACTGTCCCAATCCGTTTACTTAATGTAAATGAGGCTGAACATAAGATTTATAAAAATTCAATTGTGGCGACCATGGAGGTCATTGATACATGTATGGATTGTCCGATTGATTGCAGTGTAAATGAAATATTAGCAGATAAATCGAGTTTATCCGAAAATAATGACATACCTGAGCACCTGTTGGAATTGTACAATAAGTCTTCCGTTGATCTCGAGGAGAGCCAAAGGCTTGCCCTGAAAAATTTATTAATAAAATATAAAGATGTGTTCTCAAAGTCGTCAGGTGATCTAGGCTTGACTGATTTAGTTGAACATGAAATTGATACAGGACTTAATCCCCCAATTAAACAGCATCCCCGTAGGATCCCCATAGCTAAGGTCGAGGAGGTTGAAAAAGAACTAGAGGATATGATTAGTAAGGGAATAATTGAGCCCTCATGTAGTCCATGGAGTAGTTGTGTAGTATTAGTCAAAAAGAAAGACAATAGTCTGCGTTTCTGTTTGGATTTCCGTCGTTTGAATGAGGTGACTGTGAAATGTAGCCATCCAATACCTAGAATAGATACAACACTTGACGCTCTATC